ACCTATGTAAACAAATTCCTCCAACAAGCAACCAACAACCACCAATTTCAAAGCAATGACAGTCCGGTCGTGAGTTCGCACCAGCGAACATTTTAGACCCAGATTGATGATGATTGGAGCCAAATTGAAGGGGACCCATGGCTAGGCTAGGTGCGCCGGTGATGGCACACCCACCCCAGGTGTTCTGCCACCATGGGTTGTCACGTCGGCGCCTGAATTGGAGGAAAACTGGTGTGGTGTCACGATAATCGCGACGGGCAGCTTTCAATTTGAAATTCAGATCTTATCCTTGCTATTTGGGTTAAATTGTTTGCATGGTCGAGGTCGTCCTGAGTAGGGGAGTTGGCCGGTGGTATGTTCCGGTCAGGCAGGTGGCCGAACGGCATTATTCAGACTTGGCTGAACGGCATTATTCAGACTTTTGACCTCATTTCATGCGGCGAAATTTGAAGCTCGATTCCGGTCAAATCTGCAAGAGTTGGGGCTGGTGGTTGGGTGGGTTGTGAAGAGGGCAATAAGGGGTTCAATGTAGTATGTTGGTCCGACGACCAAGATGATCAGAGGTTGGGGATTTTGCCTTCAAAGGTGGCGGCTTAGCGGTGATAGTTTTTTCATATTTGTGACTAATTTGCACCTTTTTAAAAGTTTGAACACATAATTACAATGTATTCTTTATTTTTCTTTTCTTTTGTGTATGGTCAAAAAGAGACAAAAAGGAAGTTTTGCTCAAGAAAAGATAAAGGTTAATTTGCACCTTTTTAAAAGTTTGAACACATAATTACAATTTATTCTTTATTTTTCTTTTCTTTTGTGTATGGTCAAAAAGAGACAAAAAGGAAGTTTTGCTCAAGAAAAGATAAAGGTAGGGGCGTTTTGCGCCCAAAAATGAAAGTAATGGACGTTTTGCACAAAAACATTCAAAAGTAGGGACGTTTTGCGCCAATTACCCTAAGAGTGAAAATATCAAAAAATGAAAGGTATAGTTGTTTTCCACAATAATAGTGAAAGATGGGGACGTTATGTGCTAATTACCCTTATACCTTTGTTTGATCTCCTTTTTTTCTAAAATACATTTTTCTCTATATTCTTTTCTCACACATTTTTCAATAAAATAGTATTACAAACAAATCAAAAAATTTTCTTATTTTTTAACCATACATTTTCTATAAATTTACTATTTCAAAAGGCATTCTACAAAAAAAAATTAAAAAATAAAATAAAAATTGGGCCCATACATCCCATTTTCATTATACGCAACATATAAAACACTACACTATGTATCCATTCTACGCATATTCATGATACAGGAATGTCGGCATTGGACAAAAAGAATAACAATCAGCAATATGATCATATATTTTTATCCAATATATGTTGCCACGGATAAAACTAGTTATTTACTTATTTTAATACATTTTTCTCTTTCTTTTTTTCAATTAAATTTTTCAATAAAATAATATTACATGTAAATCAACTTGTCCTTCTTTCTTAACTGCACATTCTCCCAAAAATTACTATCGCAAAATACATTATTTTAAAACTTTTCATTTTTTCTTAATCACATATTTTGGCTTCACATGGTAAGAAAATTTGGCGATTTTATGGCTCCACATGGGATAGTATGGGCGTCTTTGAATTAATATATATACAAACGTGAATCAATTCTTGTTAAGTGCATGTTTTGTCACATGGTTCTGCCCAAGAATTGCCATGTCTATTTCACTTTCAATATGTAATTTGACCATAAAATGTAATGGACTCAATGCATTTTGTTCCCTATCCTATGACACAATAGTGATTTAATGCATGCCACCATTGGTTATGGCTCTAGGGTTTTTGTTGTTTGCAATTGGCTTCTTGTAATTGAATAGGACCACACAAA